GTAGTACGTGTTGTGATGAACGTTTGGTTGTGTGAACCAAATTTTGCGGCCTGTGACTGGATGAGTCGCCAGTGGTGAAAGTACGTACCAGTAATACAGATTTCCGGTGCCTTCCTCCCACTCATAATGAAATTTTTCTCTTTTCAAGTATTCTTCAACTTTCTACCATTCCAAAAAAAAAACAACAACAACGCATTCAATTGGAAATGATTCTTGATGCAGTTTAATACTACTGATGAATGGGAGGGACCAGTCCATGATATACCAATCAGTATTTGTTTTTCAAAAACATAGAAAAGGTGAGAAAAATGAAGTGGATCAAAAACACAAAAGGAAGACAGCGAGATGTCTAAATTGAAGGATGTCACCACAATATTCATTTAGGGACCAGTCATATAGGGGAGGTACTATAAGAAACTTACTTTTTTTTAGTTGAATGGTAAGTCTTACTTTTCAATGAATGAGCAATATTCTGTCGTAGAAATAAAAATGTGTATTTTATTTTCTTGGAGCCTCTGTTCATCCAGAAGAGTGAATGGTTACCGGCAAACTTTCAGGGAGGCCCGGTCAAAGGTTGTGGGAGGGAGGGAGGGGGGTAGCTTGCAGTTGACTGGTACCCCAGGGAGTAGGAAAGGCAATACTTCTAGTCGTATAACGCTGCAGAGGCCGGGATAATATCCGATAAGATGAGCCACTAGGCTAGCTGTCACTCTTTACTCTTTACCGAAAGAGAAACATAACACATACCTTTGGGTCTTTGGTCATAAACGACTGTTGCCAAGAGGCATAAGGATGATGTTTCTCGTCAGGTAGGTATCGAGTGTAGCGTATTTGTCTTTCTTCCAGTATCTTTACCACTTCCGGATCAAGCTGATCGTAGATCTCATTATTTCTGACCAGCGGAGTTACACCTCCCCATTCTTCGTTAGGCTCAGTGAGACAAAAGAAAATGACCTGTTATAAAGAGAATATGTCATTAGGAAATTACCATATGAGGGGAAAGCCAACCTCTCAAAATGTGTCGAAAATTTGTTTCGTCTGAGGGTTATGAAATGATAATTCTTAATCCGGGGAGTATAAAGGACTAAGGAGTTGGCGGATCAATGTAAGTATCTGACCAACTGCGCACCTACCCCTCCCCTAACCCAAAATTAACTCTAACTTGTTATCAGTTGACTGTCGTTGGTTTAAGGGAGGGATGGGTAGGTTCGCAGTTGCTCAGAAACTTACATTGATGCGAAATGAATATGCCGAGTGTTTTTTCTGGGAGTCACCGTGACCTTATGATCACATGGAAACGTTTGGGTCCAATACCTGAGCCCAAATTCTCCTGTTTTGTTATTGCGTTTTATCCCATTCAAAAGTATCATTGAGTACTTTTGACTTCTAAGTGAGACTTAATCAAATCCTGTTAAGTGACATGCAATATACTATTATCCAGTTCAAGAGGACTAGCGTACCTCAAGTTTACGGTTAATTGATTCATTTTATCGAAACCGTGAATAACTCACTTGGCCACTTGTCTTTCTTTCAGGGTACAGTCTGTTTTTTTCTTTTTTTTTTCCAGGGGGAGAGGCAGAGGATGGGGGGGGTGTGGGGGGGTGTGGGGGGTGTAGGGGGGGCTCACATGATTTTCAGGGGCAACGGATGGGGCATTAGTCGTTACCAACAGAGTATCAAGGATGGACGATAGAAAATTGACTGCAAATTTACTGCCGATAAGGGAAGGGGGAACAAAAGAATATTGCAGAGGCTAATAGGGGGTACATGCCACAACTAGATTCCTCCAATCCACCACCCATCTAAAAATTCTAAGGTCTAAATGTCTAATAGTGAATGGAAACACGTCACCTTCTTGGGATGAACTGGTGAACAAGCCATCTCATTATGAAGCTCGATGT